CCCGGCCAGAGGCGAGGTGAGGGGCGTGGCACGTGGGGGCTCGGCCGCCCGGCCAGAGACGGGGTGAGGGGCGGGGCACCCGGGGGCAGGGCTCCCTGCCCAGAGGCCGGGGTGAATGGAGCTGTATCGAGGCTCCTGTGTCACTGCCCCAGAGGTCCAGCGTGGGGCAGGCTTTGCTGTTCCCATGTCAGGTGTGATCCCTGGGGGCGTGGGGGGGCCCCAGAGGCTCAGGGAGCAGGGCAGGATGCTGGGGTGCAAGGGGGGGTTTGGAGGCACGTAGTTGCCCCCCACCTCAGGCCAGGCCGTCTCACTCCCTCTGTGCCCCCTATGCAGACATCGGCGCCTACTTCGAGCCCGGCACCTGCGTGCGCTACAACATCCTGCCGGCCGAGCTCTCGGCCGCCCGCGAGTTCGCCAGCATCAGGAGCCAGCCACTGCCGGGCTACAACCTGACCAGCGAGGAGCTCAGCTTCAGCTTCCGCACCGGCACCGCGCCCGCCGTCCTGCTCTACGTCAGCTCCTTCCGCAGGGACTACGTGGCCGTGCTCATCCGCGAGGACGGTGAGAGCCCAGGCACCTCAGGCCGGAGCCAGGGGCCCTCCCCAGCCTGCCCGCCAGGGGCCGGAGCCAGGGCCACATCCCTCCATGGCCTCAGGCCGGAGCCAGGGGCCCTCCCCAGCCTGCCCGCCAGGGGCCGGAGCCAGGGCCACTTCCCCCCATGGCCTCAGGCCAGAGCCAGGGGCCCTCCCCACCCTGCCCACCAGGGCCACGTCCCCCATGGCCTCAGGCCGGAGCCAGGGGCCCCCACGGCCTCAGGCTGGCGTCGCCCCCTCCCCACCTTCCCGGGGTCTTGGCCCAGAGCTGAACCCCGTCCCTGTCAGGGATCCTTAGGCCCCGGTGCCTACTGGAGGATCTAACCATGGAGCCGGCCCCCCAGCTCCTCCCTGCGCTGGGTTCTGGGTCGTTCCCGGCTGGCCCCTGCTCATCGCTCTGGGCCTTGCCTCGGCAGGGAGCCTGCAGCTGCACTACGAGCTGGGCACCGGCCCCTACGTCTTCCCGCTGACCACCACGCCCGTGACGGATGGGAGGCCCCATCGCATCAACATCACCCGCATCAACCGCACACTCTACACCCAGGTACCTCCGGGCGGGGCCGCGGACTGGGGCCAGGCCTGCCCTGCAGGGATCCACTCTAGGGGCCACCGGATGGGGGCAGGGATCTGCTCCAGGGGCCGCGGAGGCAGGGGCGTCAGGGGCGTCAGGGGGAGGTGGGTGCCAGGCAGCGTTGTTGTGATTGAGGGACGTGAGACTTTCTGGCCGGGGCTGAGTGGCTGGACCCGGATTGGCTCCCGCGAGGCCGTGCTGAGCTGACGCAGCGAAGCTCCCGGGTCAGTGGCTGAACGAACTGCCCCTGGCTGAGCTCTGGCCCCTGAAGGGGTGTTGGGGGCTGCGGGGGCTGAGCAGGGCTCTCACTCTCACCCCAGGTGGATTATTTCCCCGTCACGGAAAAGCAGCTCTCCTTGTTAGTGGACAGGAAGCTGGACTCGCCCAAGAACCTGTACCTGGGGCGCGTGATGGGTAAGCAGGGCCCCGGGAAACTGCCTGCCCCCTCCCACCTCCAGGGGAACTGCCCTGCCCCTTTGCCCCCCAGGGCCCTGCCTGTCCCCCTCCACCCCCCCGGGAAACCGCCCTACCCCTTCTGCCCCATAGGGCCCTGCCTGTCCCCCTCCACCCCCCCGGGAAACTGCCCTGCCCCTTCTGCCCCCCCTTGGGAACTGCCCTGCTCCTTGGCAGCTCGGGGCCCTGGCAGTGGCCACCAGACAGGCTGGGACCCATTCGCCCATCCCCAGCTCGTGGAAGCTGAAACCCCCTAACCAGCCCTACGGGGCCAGAGTAGCCTGCTCCCCCTCCCACTGGGGGAACCCCCTGGCCCCAGTTAACCCCCTCCTCTCCGTGCTCCTGCAGAGACAGGCATGATCGACCCCGAGATCCAGAAGTACAACACGCCCGGCTTCTCGGGCTGCCTGTCAGGGGTGAAGTTCAACAGCATCCTGCCCCTCAAAGCCATCTTCCGCCCCAACGGCAGGCCGGTGCACTACAGCATCAAGGGGGAGCTGGTGGAGTCCAACTGCGGCTCCATGCCCCTCAGCATCATGGACATCCCCCCCGAAATGGACCCCTGGTACATGGGCACAGGTAGGGAGGGCTCATGCCAGCCCCGCCCAGCTGCACTGGGTTCTAGCCCCCGCTCTGGGAGAGGCGTGTGGGGGGGTCTAGGGGGTTAGGGGGGTTGGGAGGAGCCAGGACTCCTGGGTTCTACGCCCAGCCTCAGCTGCAAGATGCATGAGCAGTGGGAAGGCAGCAGCCCTATCGCCAGGGCTGGGCCCTGCAGCACTGGGGGGAGCGGTTCTTGCCGGGCAGCCCGTCACCAGCCCCAGCCAGCGGCGGGAGGGCCGGGGGCAGGTCCCTGGCTGCAGGGTCCTGACCCCATCACCCCCTTGCTGGGCACATGGGCTGGGGGGCAGGGCTGAGCCATGCACCATGTACCAGCCTATCCCTGCTCCCCCGCCCGGCTGACCCCCCGGCCCCGTGTCTCTTGCAGAGTTCCCCCACGTGCACGACGACGGCTGGATCGGGATCATCACTGGCTGTAAGTGACGCGCCCGCGCCTTCGCACCAGCCGGCAGCAGGGCCGGGTTCTCTCTGCCGGCAGCCGAGGTCACCTGCTCTCGCGCCAAGGGGCTGCCTGCAGGGGCGGTGCGAGGCTCGGGGGAGAACTCGGTTCTGGCTGCACTGGACTGGGCTCATAGCTGAGCCGGGGGAGGTTGCTGGCCCAGCCGCGCGAGTGGGGAGCTGGGCTCCAGGGCCCGGCCTGTCTCGGGTGCCCCCGTCAGGCTGCGGCAGGAGAGGGGACCCGGCCCAGGGCTCAGGCCGCGGTTGCAGGAGGGAGACGCACTCACGGCTGTTTTCCTCCTTCCCAGTAGTTGTGACCTTCTTGCTGCTGCTCCTGGCCGGGCTGCTGCTGCTGCTGTATCTCCACCACCACCGCTACAAGGGCTCGTATCACACCAACGAGCCCAAAGCCGTCCAGGACTACCATGGCCCCAGCAAGCCCCTGGTCCCACAGAAGGACCAGAACCTGCCCCAGATCCTGGAGGAGGCGAAAGGCGAATAGCCGCCGGCTGCAGGGGAAGGAAGGGGTTAATGCCTCAAACGCTGGCACCTCCTGCACGGTGCTGGGAGGGGACCAAGCGCTGCCGGACCAAAGGGGCCAAGCAACCCAGAACTGCCAGAACCTGGCTCCTGGCTGGGGCGTCTGCTCCTTCCCCCCACACCGCTGCACCTCCCCTGCCTGCGCCGCCCCGCGGGCCGCCTGGGGCCAAGAATCTAGCCTGGGAGCCCCACGGGCAGGGCCCACGTCTTCCTCCCGGAATCATGCTGAGCCGAGCACTGGCGCAGTAACAACCCCCTTGCCCTGCGCACCGAGCGGAAGCTAGGGGCCATGCCGAACCCCCCACCCTGGTCCCCCCTGGAACCAGCTGGTGCAATCTCTCCTGCCCCCCATGGACAGGATGTCAGCCCCTTGGGGCAATACGGGCCTGCCCGGAGACGCCCTCTCAGCCCAAACCTGGGGAGTGGGGCACGTTTGGGGGCTGCCAACCCACCTCCCCTATAAACACCGCAGCTTCCCCTTGGAGGAGACATGGGCCTTCCGTGGGGCTAGTTAGCAATGCTCGCAGCTAGATTTCCCGCTTGTTTGCTCGCTTAGCAAAAGCCATGAGGTGACCCATACACTATAGAGCCCTGGAATACGGCCCGTAGGGCGTGTTCTGCGCCCCGGCCGCTACCTGCAATGCACTGGCTCGTGCACACCCCCCCTCCCGCCCCCGCACTTTGCTGCTCTCCTACAATCAGGTAAAGACCTTTGGAGTCTTTCTACTATTTTTGTTGCTGACCGGTTGATTACACACACAACGTTTTTTTATTCTCAGTTTGTATAAAAAACAAAAAGAAACCAGGGCGGCTGCTCCGGGTGAGTGCGTCCTGGGGCCCAGGCTATAGGGTGCTACATCTCTGCAAGAGGGGCGAGCCCTGCTGAGACCAGCCGACCCCGGGACCCCTCCCATTCCCACGCTGCAGTGGGACAGACATGCATTGAGTGACCCAAAGGCCTGGCTTTGCTGGGCGTTTTATTTGTTACAGCTGTTTTGTTGACTGACACATGACAATGTGCAAATAAAGGCAGAATGACAGAGTTCAACACCCCAGCCTCGGGTTTGTTTGTGCAGCGGCAGAAGGGGGTTTCCCTGCCTGGGGACACTGTGTGCTGGCAGGGACACAGGCCCCTTGGCTAGCAGGGGGCAGTGTCCTCCTGTGGGTGGTAGAGCCGGAGCGTCCCTGCTACTGCCTACGGGAGAGGGGGGTCAGAGCCAGGCCCAGAAGCAGCCTGGGGGGCTGGAGAGTTACGCAGCTGTGCCCATCCCTAGCACCGGGCAATGCTGCAGGAGTCGATATTGGTGAACCGGGAAGTGGGCGGGCTCACCCGCCTACTACTAAAGGCCCCTCCCCCAGCCTAGCGGGAGGGACCACTGGACCCAGTACCAAATGATTACTTGGGACAACTAATAAAAAAACAGGGAGGGAGGTGACTGTCAAAGGTTCAAAATCAGGGAGCCGGATGGGGACACCGAGCAGAGAACCCCGGACAGCGCCCACTGCTCCTCGAAGGTGGCAAGGGAGCCAGCGGACGCTGCCCAGTGGAACTCCGCCCGGAGACGTGAGACCAAGGAGGTACGGAAGTAGGCCCCACAGTCGCAGAGCACCCCCTCGTCCAACATCCTCTCCCTGGTATTCTAGATGGTGAGTTTGGCCAGGGCCAGGAAGAGGTTGACGAGGAGGTCTCGCGACTTTGTGGGGCCACGGATAGGGTGTGCTGCAGGAGTCACCGTGCCCCCCCACCCCCCAGGGCTGCTGCTGTTAGCCCTGTCAGGCCTGCGGCGAGCTTGCGGGTCAGAACAGAACAATACTGCAGCCAGATGCCCACGTGCAGCAGGGCACCTCCAGGGCAGGGGAAGTTCTTGGCAGAGCCAAGCTAAGGATCGGCCAGCATCCCACTGGCCCCTCGCCGCTCCTGTGAAGCGCTCTGGTGCATCCAGGCCCCAGGGCAGCGGGGCGCAGGGGTGAGCTCCCACTCAGGCTGGGGTAAGAACGGACGCTGGCAGCCAGGCTGGGGAGGACATTCACTACCACTTTATTAGGACAAAGATTACAAGCCACATCAGTTTTAAAGTGCATATCATTCACGGGCAGCAGACCACAGACACAAAGCCTCTCACTGCGCAGACAGCCACGGGCAGGGGCAAGTCACTAGCTAGGTGGGCGGTATGGGGCCGGGGAGGGGTGGGTCGCTCAGTCAGACAAGGGGGCCCAGGCGCACACCCCTGCCAGTCCCAGGGAGGGAGATGGGCCTGGGCACCCTGGGGGGAAAGCAGCACGGGCAGGACGGGCCTTGGGCCCCGCTCGGCTGCCAGCAGCAGGAACAGATGCCTGGCTCTCCTCCTGTCTCCCCAACCCCTGCACAAGCCAGCCCTTGCTTCCATTCCTGTTCCGGGACACGACCCTGCTGTCTGAACTGACCCCCTCCCCAGCACCAGCTGGGCTTGGGGAGGGAGGGGGAACATGCCCCACTGAAGGATGGTACCTTGCGCTGGCAGCGGTGTCCTCAAACCCAGAGCCGCCCAGTCCCAGCCCCTTGGCTGGGTGGGAGGCTTAGTTTAAAGTGCTCACTTGATTTCTTTGCATGGGGTGCTGAGAGCAGACCCTGCCCTGCTCTCCACCTCTGGGGAGCCTGCCCCTCCGGTCCGCACTGCTGGGAGGGGGCCTGGCGGTCACCGGCCACAGCAGCGCCAGCAACGTATTCACAGCAGGCAAAGCTCTCGCTGCTCCAAATGCCACCCCGAGAAGAGTTCTGTGCAACGGCAGAAGCTCCAGGCCGGAGCGGGGAGCCAAGCGGGGCTCGTAAAGTGCCTAACGGGTACTGTCGGGGCAGCCCGGCCCAGGGGAACCTGCCGGCTCCACTGTGTGACGCTGGAGCACCCAGCCCAGCGCTGGGCAAGCAGAAAGCTCTGTGCTATCTGCGGGCCAGGAGCTCTCTGATCTCCCGTGGGAGACCCATACTTCCAGCCCCACTCTACAGCCCCAGAGAGGCCCCAGCCCCACTCGCTGGTCAGTGTGGAGCAGTGCCCGGTAGTTCAGTGCCCAGCGTTCGCAGCGCTGCCTGGCTCTGGCAGGATGGGGAGTGGAGAGCCCGAGTTCCAGCCCCAGGGGCAGTGCCAACTGCTCAGCCCTGCAGCGATGCGGGTTAAAGCGTCTGTGTCAGTGGCACGCCAGCAGCAGCACCACTCACCTGGCTGACAGAACAGAAACCATCAGGGACCAAGAAGAGCCCATGGCCAGGAGGGGCCGTCCCGGCAGTGCCGCCCGCCTGTTACGGGCTGAAGGCTTGACATGGGAAGGGCCCAGGCTGCCCCCCACTAGCCCCAGGCGCAGGGATCTGGAGCCACGCGTGGCCTGTGGCACCCCAGTTCTGCAGAGCAGGGGGTGCGCGACGCACCAGGCTCCAAGGGCCCGTCCAGGGCAAGAGGCAGAAACACGTCACCCACCTGGCGTTCCGCAGAGCCTGGCTGGTGGGAGTTGGGGCCTCCCACGCCCCAGCTGGCCTCGCGTTTCCTACCCCCTCCCACCAGCTCCTCTGGCTTCTAAGGCAACCCCACGACCGACACACACTCGGCTCCTCCTGGCACCATCGTATCGCGTAACCAGCGTAACTCCTTGCCCCGGGGACCCCTCCACACGCTGTGCTGGGCGGCTCCCCCCTTTCGCCAGGCGGCCGGGAGCGCCCGGGGGCCCCGGAGCCACGCTGCAGGGAGGCGGGACTGACCCTCCGTGGGGTCGGACCATGTGCTAGCAGCCTAGGCCCCAGTACTTCAGCATGGAAGGAAATCGAGAGGTAGCCACAGATGCCCCAGGGATAAAAGCTCCCTCCAATGGCTGCGGCATGAGCAGAACAACATCAAGCACCCGCTCCCCGCATGCAGGGGGGTCGCTCCAAGGTCCCTTGGCTCCAGATGCAGCTGGTCGCTCACGCAGGTTTACAAACAGACTGAGCATTGCTTGGCCAAGCCTCTTCCTTCCAGTCCCACGGCCTCAGTCTCTGGAGCCGTCCAGCCCAGGAGCGCCAGCGCCCGCCTGCCCCGGAACCGAGCCCGGGGCCTGCTACCCCAGGCAGCGTCTGGCTCCTGCTCCTGCCCTGGGCTTTGCTCCCAGCGCCTGGCTGGAACAACACTCGGGACACAGCAACGGGAACAGGGGCAGCAATGATGGAGCATGGAATGAACACGGCATTGGGGCAGCCAGGAGCAGGGGCTGTGCCCGCGGGGGGCTAGATGATATCCGTCTCCCTTTCTATGCCCACGTACTTCAGGGCATCGGCCTGGCTGTACCTGCAAGACAGGGACACTGGCACGTAGTCACTTCTCCAGCAGCCTCTTTACCACCAGCCCGTCTCTCTAGAGCAGTGGTCACCGACCCGTCGATCGCCATCTCCGGCAGCACAGCGGGGCTGCCTGCCCCAGCCCCATGCCTCTCCCGGAAGCGGCCAGCGCGACCCCGGGGGTAGGGGTGTCCCTCCGCGCACTGCTCCTGCCTGCAAGCACTGCACCCCAAGCCCCAGCCCTGACCCCCCTCCCAGAGCCAGCACCCCATACCCCCCCTGCACTCAACCTCCCTCCCAGAGCTTGCACCCCTCACCCCCTCCTGTATCCCAACCCCCTGCCCCAGGCTCAGCTCAGATCCCCCTCCCACACTGCAAACCCCTCAACCCCAGCCCAGAGCCCCAACCCCCTGCCCCAGCCAGGTGAAAGTGAGTGAGGGTGGGGGAATGGAGTGAGAGGGGCCGGGCTTTGGGGAAGGGGTGTGGCTTCAGGGAAGGGGCAGGGTAGACCCTGGGTTGCCCTTAAATTCAAACAAGTGATCTTGGGTGTAAAAAGGTTGGAGACACTGCTCTAGAGATCTTCCCACCGCGCACCCGAGTAGCCAGGCCCCGGCTCACCTGTAATCAAAGAAGAGCTCCTCCCCAGCCTGGATGGCCCTCTTGGCAAAGATTCCTATCCGGTGGTCTCCATTCACCATCACCACTGCGGCAGAGAAAGGGGTCAGGGCTCGGCTCCCAGCCCGGCTCCCCCCAGCACCCCGGGAATCGCCCAGGGGTCTGGCTAGCCAGCAGGCTCTGCCCCGGGCACTCAGCAGCAGGAGGGCCTGGC